TTAAACTCTTATTGTTTAGGTTTTAAAATACAACGTCTTTGAGTAAGTAAGTCTATGTCTCCAGGAAAAACTCGTTATTAGGTTAGAATTAATAAATTTAATTCTAAATAAGCAGAATGCAAAAATGAGAATACCAAATTTTTAGCCTAAAGCTCTGAACTGAAATTTTCGTTTAACTTTTTAGAAATCGGAACCGAACCGAAATTCTTCGAACCGTTCGGAGCTTTATCTCTAATTCAAAAGCATGAATATACTTTTCTCTATAATAATTTTTTTATTTCCCAATAGTTCTGACTAATTGTAAAAAATAACTTATTTGATTTTCACTGCAATATTATACATTTCTCCAATAATTTTTATATTAATTTTTTCTATCTGATGCTAATAATATTGCTTTTACAAGAAAAGTTATCAAACTTCTGTTTAAAAAGACGATTTTTGAATCATGTAATGTATAATATAGTAATAGAGTATTATTATTAACTAACATTAATTTAATTGCTCCCAAAATTTTTTTTTAATCGACTGCAGGTTTTTTTTTATTAAAAAAATATTTAGTACTTGTACTGATTACAAATAAAATAATACATTTTTTTTTATTCGTAGTTACGTAACAATTCATGTCTCTAATGTAGATAGCTCTGATTATGAATTCGATGTACTTGTGAGAAGAAAATAAGAACAGGTTTCGACTTGAGAAATAACCAAATAATTCATTAGTAAATACCATATTTCGTTTTCCCAAAAATTCAATTGGTGATAAATACTCACTTTATTTATGCATCAGCCAGGAAATTTTTAACTCATTTAAAAACTGTAAAGAATGAAGGAGTATTTATTCGATGCCCCCCTCTTAGCAAATAAATAATGTCAATGCTTATTATTATTAATTGTTATTATTGTAAAATAAGTAATTGTCTTTACTGGTGAACTATCAGGGAGGATGAAGTAACATGTAAAAGGTTGATCTCAGATATGGAGGGCAATAAATCAGTTAATGAAGCGAAATTTCTTTTGTCATTCCATTAACGTGTAAAAATTGCTCTCGGGTCTATAATTCACTTTCTTTAGTTCATTATATCGAGGAATTGTGCGCTTTCTCCATTCTATTTAGCATATTTTCCGGTTGCAATGGGCTTGACTTTGGATTTTGGTGCTTCGGGTTCTATTAGACCTGAATCGTCACTTTATGACAACAGGATTCCATCTGCATACCATGATGCTGGGTAGCTCACTGCTGTGTATCATCGAGGTTCTAAAGTATCTTGTCAATGTAGCTGAGTACTTGTTTTATATATGTATACTTTTTTTTTTCAACTTACCTTCATAAGAGTTATTATTTAGTATTAAACAATTTGCTAAATTTGACCCCTGTAATTATGTGGTATGCCCTGTATATATATAAATTTTCTATCTTACATTCTTTAATTTTATTTAATTTTGATTTTTATTTCTTATTTTTGTCTCAGTTAAATTTAAATCGTTAAATTTTAACAAATGATTTCACTTGCATATAATAATAATAACGAAAATTATACATTGAGTTCAGAAAAAATAAAGGAATTCAATTTGAATTTTTTGTTAAAGGTATAATTTTAACAAAAACAATTCATGTAAATTTATAATTTAAAAATCCCTGATCTTGATATGTGTTTAACAAATTTACTAGACCATCTTCCAAGTTATGCTTGATATTTTTTTTGTGAATCTTATTAGAAATATTTAATGTAAAAGGTTTAGGTCCTTTCCAACTAATCATTAGGTTCTCCAGTGATTCATCAGAAATATCAGTTGGTGTTTCAAAAATTATTGATTTTAATTGTTTTAGTGAAGTTTGACTTAACAATTTCAATATGATATTTCCATCCAAATTACATTCTTCCCATTTATAAAAAAAATTAATCGATTTTAAATTTGTGCAATTATTAAAAATTTTGAGTAATTCTTGATCAAATTCATTTTTATAAAATAAACATAAATTTTCCAAATTTCGACAATTTTGACCAATTGACTCGATAAGTTCTCCCAAAGATTCTCTATCGCGTATGTTGTTGACTTTCAGAGATTTAAGGGTGCTTCCATTTATTTTAAGGAAATCTGATGAATCCCGAGTAGATGTGTCATAGAAATGCAAACCTTTAATCTTTGGATAAAAAATAGATTTGATATTTTCTAAAATTTTCTGATTACAAAGTAAAATTTCTAGATTTTTAAATGTTGCTGGCAATGATAAAGTATTTAAAGAACGTGAATTATCTCTTCCAGTAATTGCATAATCAACTATTGAGTTTGAATGAGTTAATATTGCTTCTTTAATTTCATTTGATATAGACACACTATTATATTTATTATTTGAATAAAAATGTATTTTTTTAATTTGATACTGTGCTTTAATTAGTTTTGCCAAGTTGAGTTCAACCTCGTCCACTTCCAAAAATTCATCGTTACAATCTATTGTAAAAATTTGAATATTTTTACAAACATCTGCTAATTTACCTGAAACTTCATAACCAGCAGTATGTTCAAAATCGAATCTATAAAGATTCTGAAAACAAGCGTTGAATCTATGGTGATTAATCATCCAGCCACCATCTTCCCAATAAACACCTCTAAGTTCTCTGATAGTTGAATGATTGAAAATGAAACACAATAATCTATATTTAACTAAGTCAAGGTTACCGTCATATATCAGTTTTCTCAAACGATTTTCGCAATCTGAAATATCTAAATCAGTTATAAATTTAGCATAGTTGTATAATGGTGGTTTCTTCAATAATTTAAACTTTATTTTGATGTCATTTTTTACTAAGAAATCCTTGTCTTCTACTAACAAGCAATCGATTAATATTTTAGCGCTTTTAATAGAATAAAATGGATCTTTCCATAAAGTTGAAATATTAATATTAAGACATTGCTTATTTAATAGTATGCAAGAGTGTAATGTTCTATAATCATACTGGAGGTGATTGAATATTTCACATAAAAGTTCAAGCGGTATAAACATCTTTTTTGTTTTTTGGAGGAAAAAACAATTTTTGAGTTGCACAACACCTATTTATAAAAATTTGTAAACAAATAACTGATTGTTATTGATTTTCTTTGATAATTTAAGTTGCAAGATTTCACCTACCCATTACAAGATTTCAATATTTCATCTAAATCTTGTCTTGTTTTAATACGAGCAGCTAAGATACAAAAATCTAGCTCTAGATGAGATCATTGGCATGACAGGATGCGCAACAATAACTACAGCAATGTTTGATTTTAGACATTCTCTTGAGAAGACGGGTATTTTAGCAGGGTTGAATAGCAGTAATGGGATGATTGACGTGTCAATATCATCATCATATATGATGAAACCCATTCTTCTCAAATTAGTACTCAAATATCTATCTATCATTAAATGCCAATTTTTTCCAATCTCACATTGCCTTCTCCATTTGTTTGCATCATCTTCACCACCAATAATAATTGATATCAAAGTGTAGATTCGTTGTAGTATTAGTATTGATTCAGCATAGACTGACTGACGCATGTTTTCTCAATCAAAAATTATCAATAATCTCTTTTGACGATGTAATGTATTATCAGCAGCACCAAATGATTTTGTATAGAGGTTGGAATCGTCCAAAAAAATCCTTAGTCGACCACTAGTTGGCCAAAATTTCTTTAGTTGACTAAATTTTTTTTTAATAATAATATTTCAATTTTTTTTTTTTTAATTTGTAAATTACGAATTCATTTCCATTTGAATCTTTTCAAAATACTTCCACACAAAACCATGTGTTACGATTCGTTTTTTTAAAGGTCTTCTGGTACCACCGCTTAAATCATTGGACCTTGTACCGAAAGTGTTTATTAGTTCACATGTAAAATTATCAACAACAACAACACCACCATTGTCGTCATCATCATATTGATGGTATTGATATTCTTCCGCATAAAAATTTTCCATTTTGAATGATAAAGCACAAAAATCGTAATTGGTCAGACAATAATAATATTAGCATAGTATTAATATCATTAGCATTAGTATTAGCATTAGTAATATTAGTAGTCTACTAAGATAGTCGACTATTAGTTGTTCAAAAAAAAGTTTAGTTGACTAAAATAGTCGACTATTTTAGTCGATTCTAACCTCTAATTTTGTAAATGTTTCCATCAAAAATGTCAACCTTGTCAGGATTTATACCATAATAATCACATACGCTTATACCTCTTGGACCCAATGCTTTTATACTATATGCTTTATCAACATACAAATAAATAATGCATTATTTAATAATTGAATCATTTGGATTTCCCAAGTAATAATAAAATAGCAATTAAATGTAAAAAAAAACCTTTTTTACTTTATGTTTTCTAATGACTTGGCAGATTACATATATTATCTTCCACGAATAAAGACCTTCGACAACCAATAAATCTTTTTCCAAGGTTGATGGGTTTCTATTCAATAAAATTTCCGGATATTATATTTGAAAACCAACCAGGAAAATTAGTACTATTAATTATTGAAATGCCCATAGTAGCAAGTTTACCGACGAATCCGACATCAACGCTTCTTCTTGTAAATGAAAATCATCCAATGTACCAACTTCAGTTCTTGAACTACCAGATGAAGTACCATATTTTCAACTGTTTGTTCAACAACATCAGCACATAGACCTTCATTCCGAGCAGATCCGAATAATTGGATCTAAACAATCTTTGGTTTTGCTAGCCAATTGAAAAGTTTACAGTGATCTTTTGTCTCTCGTTCAAGCAATGTAATTTTTCTACCCAGGTAGGTACTCATTAATTCAATTTACAGAGCTTCCAGAAAAAGGTAAAAATAATAAATTGCGGTTCAGAAAATGGAAGCATATGATGAGAGCCCCTTGCGTTATATATTCAGATTTTGATCATAATTTTATTCTTATATAGAGATTATCAAAATGTTGAGAAAATAAATAAATAACAATTTACGAGGTATTAATATTACATATGTTCTTGTCCTTTTTAAAAATCTTTTTCCATAAACATGACCAAAACAAATAGGTATTAAATATGATAAATAAGTAGTAAACAAGTAATAGTATTAGTATGGTGATTCTTTTTCGCCTTTTGTTATTATCATCGTTTTCATTATTATTATTAATATTATTGGTATTACATAAAATTTATTTTTGTTTGTTGCTGTTATTAACTTAAAAATAAATTATCTCTTTTGTTTATGATATTTGTTTGGACCAGATTTGGAAAAGAAAAATGAAAGAGTGAATACAATTCGCGGTTATTTTAGTTATTTTATAAATAAAGCATGTAGTGTAAACTTTCTTTGACCTTCAAATAATAATCCTCACATGATTCTATATTGAATTTTATTATTTATATTTAATTTTATTTCCCTTCCCTTTTTTTTAAAAAATTAAATTAATTGATTATTGAAATCATCAACAGCCATAATTAGAATTTGAAATAAAAACAGAAATGTCTCAAAGTAAAAATTCTGCTTATGATTATCTTATTAAACTTTTATTAATTGGAGACTCGGGTAAATAAATAAATAAACAAGTAAATAATAAAATAAATAATATCTTTAATGATATTTAATGTTTTACGACTATTAAACATTAAAAAAATTAATATATACAAATAGGAGTAGGAAAAAGTTGCCTCTTGTTTCGCTTTTCGGATGATTCATTTACACCTTCGTTTATTACTACAATTGGTATCGATTTTAAGATTAGAACAATTGAATTAGATGGAAAACGAATCAAGCTTCAAATTTGGGATACTGCTGGTCAAGAACGTTTTCGTACAATCACCACCGGTAACTAATTAATGATTTTGGAATTGAACTCGTAAGAGAAGAAGATTTAATTATTAATGTTCATCATATTAATACTAATAATAAATTATTTAATTATTTAGCTTATTATCGTGGGGCAATGGGAATACTTTTGGTGTATGATGTAACGAGTAAACAATCTTTTAACAGTAAGTATCTTTAACCAACCAATAAATATTAATTAATTATAATTATAAATAAGATGTTTATCTATTTCTACATATGTATACAATGACTTCAGATATAAGGAATTGGGATTCAAATATAGAACAACACTCAAGTGAAGGAGTTAACAAGATTCTTATTGGTAATAAATGTGATTGGGCTGAAAAAAGAGAAATTAAGAAAGAACAAGGTCAAGAACTTGCCGATGAATTAGGGATTGATTTTTTGGAAA